AAAAAAAAAAAAAGACATCTATGAAAATTTGGAATTTGAACTGTTGCTTTTCTATGGACCATGACTTTATCAAATTATTTTGATAAAGAAGGTAACATTCGTTTGGTTTGACCAGTTAATTTTCTTGGGATACAAAATTGCTTTATACATATAAAAATGAATCAAACTTACCCTTCTACATATACTCGAAGAAGAACATCCATAAGAAAAAACGAAGCAATAGTTAAAGAAATTGAATGCAATTTCCAAGAAAGATTGAGTGAGCTTCCAATGAAAATTAGATCCGTAAGGACCACAAACATATCCACAAATACCAGCAAGAGTCCAAATAGTCTAAAACAAACAAAATTAGTTAATTAAAAATAAAGGGATTTTTCGCTTCTATAGATGGACTACAGAGTCCCTGAGTGGTGCAAACAGTTCATGTGCTTGGCTGCTAACTAAAAATTTAAAGGCCTGAGTCCACTCAAAAGTTCCCCAGAAAATTGACTGGCAATTTTACATCAGAAAAATCAGCCAATGAAAACCTTACGGCATACAGTTCTACTTTTACACACATGGGGTGTCCATGAGCTGGAGGCAGCTCACTGGCAATGGTTGCTAGATTATAGGTTCAAATACCAGTATGTCACTATTTAGAATCACACTGTCCATAGTAGAGAGAACTGTGTTCCGTAGAATCTGAAAAAAGTACTCAGTTTTCACTCAACAGAAGCAATTGTTAGGGAAAAATTTATTTTGACCAAACTACATAAAAATATACCATATGCTCTTTTAGAGAAGACACAGCTGATTAATACTCCAACAAGATAAAGCAAATAAGTTGAATGAAAATATTATGCCTGATTTAGAAATCAAATGCAAGACTACTTTTTGTCAGTAATATTATTTATCAGTGAGATTTTCCAAAAGGACATATTCATGGATGTTTCTACAACAGTGATAGACACATAAAAGGAATTCAGTTCTATAAATTTGTACACATTAAACTCTAAAGTGCAGTAGTGTAGGATAAACACTGAACTGCTAGCTGCAAGGTCGGCAGTTAAAACCCAACAGCCACTCTTATAAACCCTATACAGTGTCACTATGAGTTAGAAACAATTAAATAGCACTTAACAACAACAACACTAGTCTTCAAAGTAATTTTTATAGTTGCCACTCATATTGAAATAAATTTAAAAGGAAGCAATTATATTGTGAATTTGTATCATAGTATGAAATATTTCTCATATTCATAAAGAGAAGAAGCCTAACTAGAACATTTCCATATTTAGGGAGATAATTTTGGATCTGTAAGATATTTAATAAAATACTTTACTTGAAATTGCAATATTTTAAAATTTATGTTTTATTATTTTTACTTTCACAGGAAGAAGACAATTTATATTAATATGTTGCCATTATTGTTGTTGTTATGTGACATTGAGTTGGTTCTGATTTATAGTGACTGTACAGGGTTTCTGAGGAGTGACTGGTAGGTTTGAACCACTGGCTTTGCAGTTGGCAGCCCACTGCTCATCCCATAGTGCCACACTATAACTCCATGTTGCCATTACACTTAGGAAATGCCATCTCTTTGCAACTTAAATAAATTCCAAAAAAATTAGATTATGCTAAATGGAGCACTTGGACTATTTAGTAACATATTGACAGTGTAGTTTAGAATTTTTTTAATTAAAATTTTTTAAAAATTTTAGATGATTTCCCATTAAAAACAAGAAATGTTGGTGTTAAATATCCATTACATCCGTACCTGAATGAAAAGGATGACACAATTGAATTCACAAATCTTTTAGTCTTGGTACTGCAAAAATAAGTAGAAATTAATAAAACTCTAGCACTTCCACGTTTAGAACAGATTTCCACTAACATCAAAAAAACAAAGGCCTTTCTAAATACAATTGGAAAAGAAAATTCGTCAGAAGTTATATAACAAAATGCTTTGTGGTACTGTAGGCTAAGCACTAGACTACTAAACACAGTCAGCTATTCAAACCCACCTGCTGTTCCTCAGAAACTCTGTACAGACTCACTATGAATTGGAATTAACTTGATGATATTTACTAACAACAACTGTGAAATATTTCTGCGGCATGATTTTCTTTTTCTTTTTTTAATTTTTATTGTGTATTGAGTGAAGGTTTACAGGGCAGATCATCAATGTTACTTTCAGCAAATCAATGTAATGATTACAATCCCCCCCACACCATGTACCCTCAGCCAGCAATATTTACGTCTATTACCTTCTTTTTTTTTTTTTTTTCCTGATGTGTGTACATACACATACCACATTGAAAATATATATTCATTTAAATGTCCAGAGGGCACATTTTGCAAGCCAGCCTCCTGCCCACAGGCACACTGTCTTTCTCAGCCCATGGGCCCTCTGTTTCTCTATGCCGTCCCCTCCACCACCATCTCTGATGTTGCTGCATTCTGGTTAGGATCCCTCACTCCTCTCTTGTTCTTCCCCCTTGATATCCTAGGGTCCTCTGTTCCTGAATTGACAAATTAACTGCTCCCCCCTTTTAGTTACACCTCTCCTACATTTATAGTTTTATGCAGCATGATTTTTCAAATTTCATATCTAGAAGTAACTATATGTGACTAAACTATCAAACATTAGATATTTAGTAGTATTTTCCTTGCCTGCAAAACTCCAAAGTCACCTTTATGATAATATTAAACTTGGGATCATCAACTAAAGCAGCATAGCATGGAGGCAGAGGGAGTGCTAAAAGGGACCTGTGTTCCAAAACTGCTCTCCCATTTATAAACGGTAGGATCCTGGCTCATCAAACCTTGGGCAGAGTTCAGTTTCTGAAGCTTAAAAAATGAGGAATTTGGGGGGATAAATAACACTTCTGTACTTGAAACAAGACACTCAGTGCTAAGACTCAGGTAAGAAAGATGGGAAGTATACTTTGGAGGTAAAACGTTTTGGTAAAATGCATTTCAAAGGAGAAATACTACAGAGACTAGGCTCCTTCCATTAATTGAAGGAGGAGGAGACTGTTTAATGGAACTGCCAGTATTGCCTCCAGTATTTGCAGGAAAAGAACTCAGAACATGGCATTTAGGGAGCCAAGCTGAAGTCTCTAATCCAGAATCCAAATTCCACCTTGAATGGAACCAATCCCAAAGGAGTGTTGGCAGCCTGCACATAAGGGGAGTGTTGGCAGCCTGCACATAAGGCTTGAGAATGGAGATGACAGATGCTGAGCAGAACTGGACCACTGCCAAAGTTATCCACAAATGCTTTTTGTTAAGCTAACATGAGATAAAAGAATACCTAAGCTGCCTCTAATCTTCTACTCTTCCACACACATATAGCACCTCCACTAAGGCTTGAGGAGTAGAGGCTGATGTAGCTGGGGGACAGCTGTTTGAAAGAGGTGAATCCTCTTTTGAGGTTATCATCTTGCACAGACTACTGTGTCTATGGGTAGCAAAATAATGTTATAATAGATTTGAACTTCCCTGACAAAGTGAACATACAAGTATTATCAATCTCTGATAGAACCACAGACACATGAAGGAATGGTTTGGGGTGGCTTTAGTGCTTTCAATCTCTTCTTTGCCCCACCGAAACTACCCCAAGTCAATATACAAGGATAAATAAAAAAGTATTGATGTAAAATCACTCAGTAAACAAAAGCATCAAAATATGAAGCTACTGTTTCTTAACATATTCACCAAATAGGTTTCTACACTTCTGAAGCGGTGTTTCCATCTCTCTAACACTTTACTGAAGAATTCCGCACTCTTCAATTCACACCACATCCAACTGCAGTTTGGCATCCTCAAGGGACTCAAATTGTGTTACTTTTCAATGTTCTTTGAGTTTGGGGAACAAAAACAAACCTGTAGGGGCAAGATCAGGGTTGTAGGGTGGATGAGGTAAGGTTTCCCAACCAAACTCTCATAAGGCAGCTATTGTTATCCTTGAAAAAGTACTTCTTCGTAATCAGCTCCCACGATGTCCTGTGTTCTTCGTGAAAATCTAACAAGATTACTCCTTTGACATTTCCAAAAACAGTTGCAATAACATTATGAGCTGACTGCTCGGCCTTAAATTTAGTTGGACCAATATATCCCCTCAGAAGTTTCTGTTTTGATTTGGCTCTTTTTTGAAGGTACCCTAATGAGACAAATACATGTGTATTATTGAGAGAACTTGTCTGTAGCCATCCCAGAGACATTATTAAAGGTGTTTTGTTTGAAATACATGCATGCACATATGAAATAGAAACCCTAGTAGCAATAATTATTTTACTAACTCTTGTACACTTGAGAATTTTTTTAAAAAAAGAATGCAGCTTCAAACATGTGTGCAGGGATTTGTAGGTAAAGGACTATGACCCTAATTCTATAGTCAGAAAAAGTACTGTTCATAATTGGGAGCAACAGAAGCTATTCAAAACGCAGCTCATCAAAGTACAGCAGTCATGTACTTGTCCTGAAAACAAGTACTCCGTGAAATGCTCAGGACAACTGAGCACTGAATCAAAATGAAGAATTTAGGAATAAAGATCACCTCTAGCAAGATGGTAGACTAAGTAGATGTACTACATGGATTCTTACAACAAAGATACAAGAGACCAAATGAAATGGACACAGATGAAAATACTAGAACCCTGAACATCAGAGGAAAGACCAGCGAAGTGGACTGAGTGTTCATTGGGAGGAGAGGCTTACCAGGGATGAAGAGAGAGGCCAGACATGGCTCCATCATCTTGAATATTTGTGAGCAGCTTTAGCAATAAAAGGTGGTCTGGCAGAGCAGATCCATATAGGTGATGGGGAAGGTGTGATTCCTTCTCCGAACCCCCACTCCCACTCCCATACTCCCTTATTGACAAAAGATATGGCCAGCTCCCACTTTTATCCACCCTCAGCATAGACCCTGCTGTCTGGGACTCATAAGACTTGCAATTGTGAGCCATTGTGAGGTAGGGTGGCTGTATCCCTTTGGTGCCTGGATCCAAGTGGGCTAGGCTCCAGAACTACAAAACTCAAAGAGTCACTAGACTAGCATTGTTGTTGTTGTTGGGTGCTGTCAAGTCAACTCAGACTCAGCAATCCTATGCACAATTGAATGAAACATTGCCCGGTCCTGCACCATCCTCACAATTGTTACTCTTAAGGTCATTACTACAGCCTTGGTGCCATCTCACTAGGGGTCTTTGTTTTGGGCTGAACCTCCATGTTGCCAAGCATAGTAACCTTCTCCAGGGACTGATCCCTCCTGACAATGTGTCCAAAGTATGAGAGATGAAGTCTCACCAAACTTATTTCCTAGGAGCATTTTGGCTGCAATTCTTCCAACAAAGATTTGTTCGTTCTTCTGGCAGTCCATGGTATCAACATTCTTCTCCAACACTACAACGCAAATGCATCAATTCTTCTAAAATCTTCCTTATTCATTGTCCATCTTTCACATGCCTATGAGGCAACTGAAAATACCAAGTCTTGGCTCATGCACACATTAGTTATCAAACTGGTATCTTTGCTCTTGAACACTTTCAAGAGGTCTTGAAATACAGCAGATTTGCCTAATGCAATATGGCATTTGATTTCTTGACTGCCGTATAAACCCTCATCACCCTTCCCCCAGCTGCCCTAACACACCAAAACCAGCTCATCAAGAACCTCCACAAACTAATTCTGGATTGAGTAACCTGAACATTGATAACACCTAGACCTGTAGGAACTCCATCTAGGACCAGAAACTCCTCTATCACATCCCTTTTACACCCATCTTGTTACCTTCTAGGCTGGCAAGAGTCCCCTCAGTGCTTACTCCTCTCTGGATCCAACTGCTGCATTGTTGTTGTTTTCTAATTTTTATTGTGAATTATGTTTTAGTTTACATGGGTGAACATTATCTGTACATTCATCCTATCATATTTTGTTTCATTGCAATGATCACAATC